ACAGCTCAAAGGCATCAATTCTCCTTCTATCCTCCTTGGTCATTGTCCAACTCTCTGATGCATAACAAGTGGTTGCGAAGACCATGGTCTGTATCTGATGCACCTTAGTCTCCAGAGAGACACCACTGCTCTTCAGTACTTTTAGTCAAAATTGCTGAACAAGTATGACTTTTTGTTATTGCCTATAAATGGACAAAGCCTAGTAATACGAATATTTAAAAGTTTACTGCTGTAAGCATTCTGAGCAAATGGTTCTCAAGTGGGACTCATTCCTTTGAAAATAATGCACTCTCCAGAAATGTGGAAGTGTATTTTGAAGAGCTGAGATGCAAATGTTCAACAATAAACAGTTTCATATAATAAAGAAGTACACTATTGAAAGTACCAATAGTGTCCTTGTGGAAAAATAACAGGCTAGGCGGGAGATTAAAAAGAAGAAATAAGACAAATGACACATTCCAAAAACATGATCTATATACATATTATTTTTAGAAGATTCATCTAAACATCTGTATGCAGATTATTAAGTAGGAAAAATATAAAGATGAAAACACAAAGACATTTATTTTAAAGTAGTTCAGAATCTAGTGAAAAGACTGACATATATCAACTCTACTTTAATATACATCAACTCTAATATACTAAGTGGAAAATAATCTAAGGAGCTCTGGTGGCGTAGTGGCAAGAAGCTACACTGCAATCCCAAAAATATGTGGTTCAAATTTACAAGATGCTCTGTGGGGAAGAATGGGCAATCTCCTTTCGTCATTTACTGTCTCTGAAAACCTGCTGGAGGGTCAATTATGCCTTGGTTCCAACTTGATAGTAAACAAGAAGCGGATAACAAAAGGGATGCAGAACATCTAAGACAATGCAAAGTATGACAATCAAATGAAAAAGTGTTTGAAAAAGATCAATGACATTTGTATTATTCTCTAAGCGGTATGTATGACTAAAAAGATAACTTGATAATGTTGTACTTTATAAATTTATAAAGATCAGAAGTCAGCTTTGTGGAAGACAGACTCGAAAGAGTAAAAAATGTGAGGAAGGGAAGGTAGAAGGCTACAAAAATTGCTATAGGCAAAAAATAAAGAGAATAAAAACAAGCACAGGTAGTGAGCTATACCAAGAAAAGGGGAATGAAAGAGCTCTAAGTGCCTGGACATGGACTTTAAAGGGAAAGAGAAGAGTACGATTACCATGTGGATAATCAGTGCTGTCAAACTAAACAAGGAATACAGGAGGAACGAGTTTCAGTGTGGCAAGTGTAGATGAGCTCGGTTCTGGATACATCAAATGTGAGATGGCTTACAGAAAATTTAGGTAGCGCTATTTTCAAAGAGAGCTGTACACAGAGCTTAACCCCTAGGGGGAAAAAGTCTTATCTGATACACAGAAAGACAAAGGAATGTCAAAGAAAGAGAAAATCAAGACAAGAAGTTTCCACTTTATTTTAGGATAGCAATGGCCAAATAGTAAAATGCCATAGTTCAAAGACATCCTAAATCCCAACTTTGACCATATCATGGAAATTTAAAAAGGAAAAGTGTAACTTATTTTATTTTTTTAATAAATATCTTTTCCTCACTTCTCATTCTCAACATTTGTGCATCTTAGTGCAGTAATAAAATGAAGGCCTATATACCATTTGTCCTATTATTTAAAATAAAGAAATTAAACAAAGACAATAAAATTGGCTTTATATTCCTACTTTAATAATCAAGCAGGATAAGTTCAAATTTCGAATGTACAGGCTCCATAGTTTTCAATTTAGTAACTTTCAGAAACTGAGAACAAAAGCCCAAACAACCAAAAAAGCAAAGGCCATTATGAATAGGCAAGTTACAGAAGAGGCAACAGATTGTATGAAAAAGATACACAAACTTACTACTTGTCAGGGAAATAATGAGATAGATAAGCCTTTCACATGGCTCAGGTTGAAAAACCATTAAGCTGATCTGTTCATATGTCCTTTAAACCTGTTTTCCTCCTATAAATTCATAAATCCTGTTTTCAGGATAAATGATACAACTTTTTACTAGGATATAAGAAATAAAATATATTCTTGACCGAGTTTTTTCCCCCCCTAATAAGTGACTATTCTCATTCTTATCTAAATCTATTCTCAATATTTTTTATTCGCCTAGTTAATGTCATGAAAGGAGGAGTGGCGTCCACTTCCGTAATAGCTTGCCTCCGGAAACCCTATGAACTTGGAGAGAGTATGAAAGGCACCCAAGCGTCAAGGACTCTCCTTCATAGGGTCGCTATGAGTCGCCTGCGACTCGACGACGCTTAACAACAACAACAACAACAACAGCAACAATATCTATTATGCATGTACCACAAAGAAAAATGTGAAGCATTGTAAGTATCTTTTTATGATTCTCAAGTTGAAAACCATTAAAAAGAACTTGAGTACCTATAATGCACATACTGCAAGGAGAGTGAAGCACTGCAGCAGCTGTGGAAAATGATCAGGCAATGTTTATTAAAATTAGAAATCAATTTTCCCTTGACCTAAAAATTCATTACTAGATAATTTATGCCACAGCAAAACACATGTAAGACTATATCACAAGTATATTTCTCATAAAATTGTTTTTAGTGCCAGCAAGCTGAACAAGTCGTTTACAAACAATGAAATGCATGGAGAGTTAGTAATACTGTCATCAGAATTAGAACTATCTCAAAATGGCTTTGAGGAATATTCAAAGGGGATGAGTTACATAAAGGCAAGATAAAGAAAAGATAAACTATGATTCTATTTTAATAATTTATAATATCAAATATTCTTTACCTGTAAAAGATGCCATATATTACAACCACATGAAGAAAACCTAAAGATACAATTTAAATTACTTACCTGGCGTGGATTTTGCTGACCAAATTTTACTTGATGTGTGACCGCTTTGATAAACTTCTGCTGCTTTGCTCCTTTCTTATTCTTAAGACCAAAAGTTTTGTCCTAAATAAGAAAAAGCAAAAAACTATCTTAGCAACTTATTTTTTATTTCTTTCGGTGACCCCTAAAATCATTCTTTCATTTATTATCAATTAAAAAAAAATTCTTCCTTATGCTACACAGGAGTACTGGTAACATAGCAGGCAGCTAACTAAAAGGCATGGCAGCAGCTGCTCATGAAAAAATGAACAATCTCTTGGAAGCCTGATAGAGGGTGAAAACCAACTCAACTAACACATCAACTCAAGGCCCTCAAAACCTTTTATTCACCAAAAACCATTGCCGCCAAGTACTGCAATCCTGTTCCAGAGAAACCCTCCCGGATAGAGTAGAACTGTCCTGTAGGTTTTTTGACGCTATAGGTCTTTGTGAAAAGGAGACTGTCTAATCTTTCTCCTGTGGAGAGGCTGGTGGATTTGAAGCACTAAGCAAGCTGTTAGTATCTCAATGCTTCACCAAATCAAATCACTTTTGTTTTTGTATACTACAGAGTTGGAATCAACCCATAGCTGACCCTCTGGAGGGTTTTCAGAGGCAGTTAAACGCACGTGAGGAGACTGACCATCCTTTTCCCATGGAGCAGCTGATGGCCTTTGAACTATGTGCCTTTTGTATCGCAGCACAACATTAGGCCACCAGAACTCCCTTAATCAAGGCACTGTTGTTGTTGTTAAGTGCCGGTGAGTTTAACAGATCTCATGGCAACCCTATGAACAAAAGACCTGAACCCAGTTCTATAACTGTCATTGTTTCTCTAAGTTCATAGTTTCCAGAGGCATGTTGTTCAGAAAGTGGATTCCTCTCCTTTCAACCCTGTATACTCCACCAAACACTGTCCACCATGGGTAACCATTATGGCATTTGACATACCAGTGGCACCATGTTCAGTATCACAGCAACCCCAAGTTACCTCAGTACAGCAAATTGACAGACCAGTACTATAGCACTTAGAAAAATGTTAGTCCAAAACACAATTAACACCAGAGAGGGCCCAAATGGGCCCAACTGACTTTTAAATACCAAAGCCCTCTACCAGATCTTACTGACTCTAAACAAGCAGCTCCCCTCTACTCACTGTTAGCTAAATCCAGAAAATGCAATCAGCTCATTCACAATTATGAACAAAATAAAAAACCAAACAGTTCACACCTGACCCTCAACACAAAACCAACACAAAACATCCCACCTTCCAGAATTCAGCAGCTTCATAAACAAGCACTCCAGGACCTCAAGTAATACTGGGGTTGGCAAGGATGTCGAGGTATTAAAACTCTCATACATTGCTTTCTGGTGGGAATCTAAATGGTACAAACACTAAGGAAGGCACGCTGGTGTTTCTTCAAAAAGTGAAAAATAGAAATACCATTTCACCTACATAGTCCACTACGGGGACCATAACCTAAAAAACAGCAGAGCTGCAACAAGAACAAAAATAAATGTAAACTCATGTTTTTTGCAGCATTACTCCCAACAGTGGAGATGGAAGCTGACCAAGAGTCCATCAACAAAGAAACGGGTAGCGGTATATGGAGTACTAGGCAGCATTTAAAAGCAAAGAATTCATGAAACACTACACATTAAGGAGGAGTCTAGAAGACACTATGCTAAATTAAATAACTCGGTTACAAAAGGACAAGTACTGTATAAGATCACTGTTATAAAGTAGGTTATGAAATGGAAGGGGAAGGTTCTGGGGGAGGGGCCAGGAGAACAGGAAAAGAACCCATAGATAATGAACACTTTATTGGATTAGGTGAAGGTGAGGCAATTTGAAATGAATGGCGCATCATACGTGATTGGTACTACAATTAATCTAGAACAGGATACGGGGAACAGGGGGGGAGCAAGGGAAACAAAGCCTAAGGAAAGGTTTACACCAGACAAAAAGAGAGGGTTGACAGGGGCAGGAGAGGGAGCTGTGATTAGCCACTGAGTAGAGAGGGTGAAGAGAAAGGGAGGGTGCAGAAAGGTTTCTATGACCTTGTAATATCATTGCACAATTGTAGTTAATGTTATAAAACAAAATGTGTAGGAGTGAATGAAATGAATTTTTAAAACCCCAAATAAAACAAACCGCAATGGGAATTTGCAGTGTAATAGGTCTATTTTTAAAAATGGCTTTTCTAGGTCCACTGCCTTTCAGGTAGGAATATGCAAATAGGATGTACTGGTCCACCCACAATCAGAATGGCTTACTTGGCTCTTTCACAGGTTTAAACTGAGAAGATCCAGTAACAGAAATCTAGGAATCTCACTATCATTAAGAAAGCAGCAGAGAAGGCAGTGTGCATCTTCTGGAGACTGAGATTCCAGGGCTAGTCTGATGGGACCTACCGGAGAGCCAGAGACTAGAAGTGAGACAACCGCTAAGACTAGGGACTGATTCCCCATATAGGGGCCTTCACTCAAGCTTGCTAGCAGACTAGGGGGGAGATGCCTTAATTGACAGAACTAAGAGGGCTTTGTGACAATGGCCAACAGTGGCTGATGGGCTGGGCTTGCCAGTACCCTTCAGAAGCTATTCTGAGCTACTGTATCCTGTTGTCAACCCGAGTTGTAACCTTAACTTCCCCAATAAACCCAGTCATTGTGAGTCTGTTTCTGTGAGGGCTGTATAGCTACTGCATTGGTTTTTGGACCCAGTATAGCAGTAGGACTGCTGTTGGAATTAGTAGAAATAGGTGGGAGAGGAGGGGAGCCATGTCTGATCTCATGGATGAAGGAAGAATTGATGCCTTTGAACTGTGATGCTGGAGAAGAGTACTGAATATACCAGTGACTGCAAGGAGAACAAAATGTTTTGTGCTGGAGAGGGTAAAACCAGGCTGCTCCTTGGAGGCAGGGATTCTGAAGCTCCGTCTGACTTATATTGGGCATTTATGCAAGGGTGGGGGGGACCAGTCCCTGGAGAGGGACATCATGCTTGGGAGGGTGGAGGGACAGTGCAAAAGAGGAAGGCTCTGGATGAGACAGACTGACTCACTGACTGGGTAATAGGGGTAGGTGTGTCAGAGACAATAAGATTGGCTCAGGATAAAGCAGGGCTCAGAGCTATTGTACATAGATAGGGTTGCTATGAGTTGCAAGTGACTTGACAGAACATAACAGTGCCTCTCATTTTTTAACTTTTCTAGAATTGTGCAGACCAAACCCACTTTTCCATGACATGTTCCTTGACAAGTACTGTTTTACTATATTAAGTCAGTTACTAATACATCTATCTACTTCCAACCTTTTTAAAAAATTTTATTTTATTAATTTTAATGACCATTTACAGAGATTTTGTATTTCCATCCATTCATTGTTGCATTTTTCTCTCTGCCCACCCCTCCCCCTCAGTTCGCTCTTCTCTTTGAAAAGTAAAACACCTTCACTGGTATACAATATCCTCCCCTACCCCAGTACACTCCACTATGCAACCTTCATTCTAGACTCTTGTCATAACTGTAATACCCAATTATATGTCACTTTTAAACTGTTCTCTCCCTCATCTGTTTTAATGCAGTATACACAATTTATCCAATTTCTAGAACAGTCCAAGATTACTTTTTGTAACTGATGTCTTATTTTAAGAGGTGTCCCTTGCCAGTTCATACAGTTAACTCACTTTATTGCTCATGAAAAAGATGAGAGCCTAAGTGCACCCAAAGGTACCCTAGTCATGGAAAACTTTATGGAACAGAGTTCCATATTGGAACTGACTCCATGGTTTCAAGATGGAGCCTCTTATTTCTTCTCTTATTTATGGGTTGAGAGAGAAAGGCATGAAGGTCTCAGTTTGAAATAAAGTTTGTTGTTGGGTGTACTCGCCCGGTGCTACGTCATCCTTATAATTCCATCTGTGCTCAAGCCCACAGCTGAAAGTACTGCACCAATCCACCTAGTTCTGTCTTTCCCTCTTTTATTGACCCTCCACTTTCATAACTTCAAATTTCATAGACTGGTACTTGATATATTTCATGTTCCAATATTAATGTTCTTTCCCCTCATTCTGTATCATATCACATCTGCAGATAAAGATCTTTCATTGGCTCTAGATTTCATCCATTATACATGAGGAGATCATCTTCTGACACTATTATTGGAGACCTTTCCAAATTATTGAGGAGCAGAGATGTCAGTCTGAGGACAAGGCACACCTCATCCAGTGTCTTTCCAGTCACTTGCTATGCATCTGAGAGTTGGACAATGAATAAGGGTATTAGAAGATTTGATGCCTTTGAACTGTGGTATTGGAGGAGAGTAGTATCTGTGGACTGCCAAAGAGCAGACAGACATGTCTTGCAGAAGGTGCAGCGAGTGTTCCCTACAGGTAAACAAGATAAAATTTCGTCTCACATACTTTGCGCACGGCAGGGACATCATGCTCGGAATGGTGGAGGGATGACAAAGAGAAAGAAGACCTTCAAGCAGGTGGATTGACACAGTGACTGCAGCAATGGGCCTGCATATATCAGAGATGGTACAGGATAGGCCAGAGTTATCTGTTGTTTATAAAGTCACTATGGGTTATACATGACTCAATAGCACCTAAGAACATAAGAGAAGGAAAAGGGCAATACACAGAAAAAAAGTTTTAGAGACAGAATGCACTTCTCATGTGGACAATTTAGAAATAGGAAACAACAGTATTAAAAGAATATTTGAATATTTTCCACAGCTTCCACAGCAGGGTTTAAGAGTTTTGTTTCTAAAAGAAAATTACTCATTGGGAAATATGAGCCAGAGTCAACTGGATAACACATAACAGCAGCAGCATTAAAATACAAAAGCTAAAGAATGAAAAGGTCAAAAGAGAACTGATACATATGAATGCTGATGTTGTCAAAGAACACTCAACATGCCCATCAACTGCCAGAAGAACAGGCAAGTCTGTCTTGGACAAAATGTATACAGCTAAAATACTCTACAGAAATGAATATGGCAAGATTTCATCTCAGGTACTCTGAACATATCATCCAAAAGTCAGTTTCTAGAGAAGGAAATCTTTCTTAGTACAACTAGCAAGAGAGAGGAAAACTCTGAATAAGCTGGACTGGCACAGTGGCTACCAATACTCAGCAATGACTGTGAGTATGGTGGAGGGCCAGGCGGCTTTTTCATTCTGCTATACAGAGTTACTACTAGAAACTGGAACGAATTTAACAGCACCTGACAACAACTATGGATATGAAAAAAGTAGTAAAGTATATAAAAAAGGCTAAAAATCTCTAGACTGAACTTTTATGCATGGCTTTCTGATGTTTCTAGAAAACAATTTTTAACACCCAATCCAAACAGAAGTATGTTTGAAATGAAAAGAGATGATCACAGTGCAAAAATCAGGTGTGATATGCCATATTTTTCTTTTAAAGAAGCTAACTCTCATGAGAAGAAATGTATCAAAAGCAAGGATCCAGGCGTAACAGCGTCTATGGATGCCTTGCTGCATATCAGTATGTATACCCAAGGTTTAATTCATCATATTTAACTATAGCTATGGACATAACAGGGTTAAATAAGATATTTACATGTCAGATTAAAAATGGAATCTTAAAAAGAGAAGTGGGAAAAGAAATCCAAGAAAGCAATAACATTTACATAGCCAACCACAAACTGAGATAACTGGAAGTGAATCTAACTAGAGACACAAAAGACCTATACAAAGAAAACTACAGAACATTTCTGCAAGACACAATAAAAGACCTAAATATGTGCAAATAATGTGTCTTGTTCATGGATAGGAAGACTCAATAATATTGTAAAAATGACAATCTGACCAAAAGCAGTCTACATGTTCAAAGCAATCCCAATCCAGATACCAAATTAATTTTTCAGACAGATCAAAAGACAAACTGTCAAGTTTATTTGGAGAGGAAAGAGACCTCGAATAAGGAAAGCACTTCTGAAAAACAAAAATGAAATGGAAAACATTACACTTCCTGACCTCAAAACCTACCACACAGCAGTAGTAAACATAACAGCATGGTACAATGGTACAATGACAGGCACATCGGCCAATGGAATAGAACTGAGAATCCAGAAATAGACCCAGTTATCTAGGAAACAAAACCTATCAAATAAGGAAATTACAACCTATTCAACAAATGGTGCTGGCAAAATTGGACTGCTATTTGCAGAAAGCCGAAACAGAATCCACATCTCACACCATACACAAAAAAATCAACTCAACATGGATCAGAGACCTGGGAATAAAGCCTAAAACCATAATGTTCATCAGAGACAAACTGGGATCAAGCTTAGACAGCCTAGCCCATCTTATAAAAAGACTGCCAAATACAGCCAGAAAAGCACAATCTGGAGAGGATAAAATTGACAAATGGGACCTTCTAAAGAGTAAATCCTTGTGCACATCAAAAACTTTTTACAACAGAAAGAAAAGAAAAACTACTGACTGGGAAAAAACATTTGGCAATACCATTTCAGACAATGGTCTCATATTAAAAGTTTACAGAATCCAATAGGGCCTCCACATGAAAAAGACAGATAACAATTACAAAATGGGCAAAAGACATGAAAAGAGTTTTCACAGAGGAAGATAATTTTATGGCTAACAGACACATGAAAAATGCTCAAAATCATTGGCAATAAGAAAAATACAAATCAAAACCATGAGATACCATCTCACTCCAATATCAGTGGCAAAGTTTAATAGGTTAAGAAAGAAATGTTGAAGAGGATGTGGAGAGATATTCTTATATATTGTTGGTGTGATTGTAAAATGGTACAACCACTCTGGAAGGCAGTTTGGCATTTCTTCAAAAAGCTAAACATAGAAATTCCGTATGACCCAGCTATCCCACTACTTGGGATATACCCTGAGAAAATTTTCCCTCGGTTTAGAAAAAATAATTTCTTTAAGATTGACCTGGAAGGAGGAGGAAATACAGGGTGGGAAGATAAGTTGTTATAGTTAACTCTAAATTACAGTTAAAATAAAATTAGATAGTAAGCCTCATTGGATTTAAAGGTTAGGTTAAATATAGAACACATAGTTAAAATAAAATGAGAAAGACAGTGCCCCTCACTGGATTTAAAGGTAAGGTTATATATAAAGAACGTATTTATGTGAAGAAGACTCATTGCTGTGGAGTCCACAGTGACTCATAACAATCCTAAAATATAGAAAGGACTGCCCAGGGCTCTAAGTCTTTACAAACTGCCACATCTTTCTTTGAAGGAGTAGCTGGCAGCCTAGTTCTTTAACCACTGCATGACAAAATACTCTAGAACAATGAATAAAGTGGAATTAATTTTTTCATAGATATGCCAGATAACAAGGTATTCTCTAACATTTAGTTTCACCACTAAGGATTTAATACAACCAAAATAATGTACAATCTCCAGGGGTAGTAAACACACATACATGGGAGTACACAAAACTTCACTACCATTTTAAACAACAAAACAGGGCACTGTTAGAGGAGTGTAGGTGAAAAACCCATAAATTTGGCCATCTTGTCATTACAATTTTAAATATGATACTATTAAAAGTGTACCTTCTATAGTTTGGTATTATTCTTTAGATTTTAATTCGTTAGACAGCTGATCATAAAAGCTGAAAATATACGTTAAATGTGTGGGGGGGAAACGTAAAAAAACAGATGAAAAAATCCAACTGTCCTATTGTGTATTTTTATTTGGGGAAATCTTCGTTACCGAAACTAAAGTTGTTTTCTCTTCACCTTAAACGTAATCTTTTTACAAACTAAAGGAACTAGGTCATTTTATGAGCTCCACTTTTAGAGGTGATAGGAAACTAAATTACAATTCTTTAAAACAAAAATGTCAGCCTCACCAATTAAACACAAAACACTGAACAATTACATATTGAGTGTCAGAAACAATTTCATGTCCATGTGGGGGTTTTACTTTGTATTTCCCATCTACTGTGTATGAAGTTGTGATTAGGCTCCATGAAGTCCGACTCATAGAGACCCAAAGAACAAAAGACCTGAAGTACGTGTTCCTGAAACTAACTTCATTTACCTTCTACTGAATGCCAGGAGATCACCCGAGAGATAGAAATATCAGGATTCCAGATTGTTACAAAATGTGGTAGCAGACAAAAATAGGTGTGAAGCTGGTAATAATTTTGCTTGCAAGTCTTTGGCTCTACTACTTTATGACAGTTCTAAACAAAACAAATTGGCAACCAGAATACAGGTTCTGCCTCTGAGCTGGAACTTGGCCAACGTACTAGATTTCTTATAAGTACCTAAATCAAATCGGAAGACTTTAAATAGCACTCTTCGGCCATTAAATATATACATATGTGTATTTAAAACAAATGTGTGGCAAGTAGTGCTGTTAACGACGCCAAAAACCTAGACAAAATCTAATCTGTTTAAAAGCATTCTTCTATTTATCAGACGTGACGCTGGACTGTGACCTGAAAGAAAAATCTCATTTTTTTATAGACCTTTAAACAGTTTAGAGGTAGTGGAAAAGGCCATGAAATAGAAATCTGTTGGCTCGAGAAAATAAACATTTGTACTCCTGGGAAGAGGGGTAAAGAAAATCAACACGAAGACCCCACCAAGCCAGGCATCCAGAGAGATCGTGGCGAGGGTCCTTTGAGTCTATTTCCTTAACTATAACCCTAGAACCTGGTAGAACAAAGCTTTGTGATGGGCTTGGGGTGGGGGTGGGGGGGTGCCTTCAAGGCGGGCATGTAGGCGATGGAAAGCCAAGCCCGGGCGCGGGGGTGCAAGCAGCGTCACTATAGCGATGAGAAGCAGCGAGCGTCATCAGGGGGCTGTGGAAGGGGCTGTGGACAACACGGAGGTGAAGAGAGGGACACGTGGACCCGGAAAACAAGAGTGTGAACAGGGGAGCGGAGAGGCTGCTTCACTGAGAGCTCGAGGCTTGAATGGGAGGGGGGGAAGGAGAGTGGGTACTCACTTCGATGATCTTCTCCTTCTTTTTCTGCTCCGCCTTTTTGCTGCCCCCGGACTGAGCCTGTTTCTTGGGGGGCATTGCGGAGACAGGTGGCAATGGCCAGACTTGAGCGCAGCGGGACACCGTCCGGGGCTCCGGCCCCACGGCAGGAGGAGGAAAACCTGGGCCTCAGTCGCCGCCGCACCGCGCGGTAGGCGAGTCGTTCACTCGCAGATGAAATACGGCCTTTGCGACAGGTCGGAGGTGCAGGGCATTATGGGTAGTGAGGAGCGGCGCCAGGAAGCAGATTTGTGCGTGCTCTGCGCCTCTTCCGGTCGGTCGAGAGTGGGCGGGGCACGAGCAGCGGAGTCCAATGGCCGCGTGTCGGGAGTGTTGTCGCCCGTCCATAGACCTTTGTAGGTCACGCTGGTCTGAGATTGAACCGGGGCAGGTGGGTTGGGACCACCTGCACTTGTTGTGACTCTGCGTCCTCTTTCGCTGCGGGTGGATGACTTTTTTTGGCCCTTTCCCTGGGAACGGAGACTGATACTGACAGCTAGGCTTACGGTCGATCTACGATATTTCCATTCTTTAGTGGCCTCTCGGCAGGCGCGGCAACTCCAGGCAGCCTCCAGGGTCAGAGTTCTGCGACCCTTTCCCTTTCTTTTCACAGAAAGTCCTGCTCCAGATTCCTATGAAGAAAATTTAAGAAGAAATGGAATTTTTATTTGAAAGATTCCTGAGTGCTAGGGATGGGCGTCCCAGAGAACGGGGCACCTGAGCTGTTTTGGAGTATTTATCAGATTACCTCCAAGCTTTTAAGTAGCTGTGTATATAGTTCATAAAATCCTCTTGGGAACGGAAATCAACCAAACATGGAGATTAATGAGCATGAGGAGACCGTTCGTTTTCATAGTTTTATTGGGTGATTGCTGGATACAGACGCTGTCTAGCACATTACAAGTATTACCATTACATGGAAGTGGTGGTTAAATACCCTCGAGTGGGAACGCGATTCCTGGCGACCCTATCAACAAAATTCCAGAACACTGTTCCTTAACTGTCATCGTTTCTCTTAAGTTTATGGAGTTTCCACAAGCATGTTTAGGAAGTGGATGCCACTCCTTCCAAGCTTATCTTAATCTGGGAGCTGCACCAAACACTGTTCACCATGGGTAACCATTATAGTATTTGACATACGGGTGCATAACGTTCAGCATCACAGTAACCCCAAGACACCTAAGTATAGCAAATTGACAAACCACTGTGCCACTTAGAAGAATGTTGTTATGGGCCATTGAGTCGCTTGCGACCCATAGCGACCCTGTGTACAACAGCCCTAAACTCTTCTCTGTCCTGTGGCAATCTCACTGTCTCTGACACTCCCATCCCGATTATCCCAGTCACTGAATCAGTCCACTTCACAAAGGGCCTTCCCCTCCTGCCCTGTCCCTCCACCCTCCCAAGCATGATGTCCTTCTCCAAGGACCAGTCTCCCCTTACAACATGTCCAAGGTATGTTAGAGCTTCAGAATCCTTGCTTCCAAGGAGCCACCTGGTTTAACCCTTTCCAGGATGAATCTGTTTGTTTTCTTGGCAGTCCATGGTACATTCAACACTCTTCTCCAGCACCACAGCTCAAAGGCATCATTCTCCTTCTAGCCTCCTTGGTCATTGTCCAACTCTCTGATGCATAACAAGTGATTGCAAAGACCATGGCCTGTATCAGACGCACCTTA